CTGATGAATGTTTTTTTTATTTGTTTTTTGTTTTTTTTTTAAAGTAAAGTTATAGGAGCTTTATACTGCTTTTAATGGTTAAATTGGTTTATTGCTTCAAAAATATCCAGCAGTCTGCAACTGCTGAGTCACCACCTACTGACCATTTGGGTCACTCAGACGGCAGAGAGCTGGGGGTGTTTTAGGTCATATTGGGGACTAGTTTTCTTCTGTGCTGCAGAAATTCAAGAGAAAACAACCAGTCATTTACACATAGGGGTGTATTTATATATGGAATGGATAGTGCTTTTATAAAGGAGTGCTGATAATTAACACTATGGGGTGTATTTATACAATGCTTGCAGAATGAACAGCTCTGTGAACATCTAACTTTTAGATTTGCACTGCATTTTGGCCACTAGATAGAGTTTAAGAGCATAGGAAATTCCTGTGCATCTTGGCTCTATCTACAGGCCATAATGTGCTGCAAATATAGAACTTAAAGGGTTCAGCCAGCAGTAGATAGATGCAAAAAGTAAAAAAAAACGCTTTAACAACGGTTAAAATTACCTGTGTCTTTGCCACGCTCTCCCGTCCGAAAATCCAAAACTGCTCGGGCGGCCTTCACAGCATCTTGGGGCGGGGCGCATGGGCAGTTCGGATTTTCGGCCGGGAGACGAGGAGAGACGCAATGTAAGTCTATGGACGCGTGCACCCGCATGCAGACACTGTGGGTCAGGAAGTGCCAGCAAGGACAGAGGAGTCAGCGCTGGATCGGAGACCCGCAGCAGCGCTGGAGAGAAGGCTGAAAAAGGACAGGAAGGAAGAGGAAGATCGGATTAAGAGACATCATTTAATATAAGTGCTGACATTAACATTGGGGGAGGGGAAAAAAATTATACTTTAATGTCACTTTAAGACTATCTCAGAGGTGTTCGCGCTGCAAACGTTTTATAAATATGCCCCATAGTGTTAATTCTCTACACACCTTAAAGAGGACCTTTACCCATATCTTCAAAACGACAACTAATTCACCTTTTTAGAAATGTTTAGTTATGACAATCTACACACTCCTACTTCTAGATAATTGCTGGCTTTGTATATTCTTTGCATACCTTATTTTTATTTTCCTCCCCATTCTTCTCACAGTGGCCATTTTTAGTCAGGGCAGATGAATCAATCTCCCTTTTACTTCCTGGAACTCTGGCACGTGTGACTAGGACATGTGACCATGCACAGCATCTCAGGGAAGAAAAATACCTTTCCCTGCGATCCTGGTATTACAGATGAGATTTCCCAGCAATACAATGCTGATGTAACCTTCCCTGGATGCAATGCTTGGGCACAGATGGACCAGGAAGTGGAAAACAAGAAATTGTAAGGAAAATAAAAATGTTGAGCTTATGAATGTAAGATGATTTCATATCAGCATGCTGATGTGTGTTTTAATCAAAGGGGGGAAATGTCCACTTTAATAAAACACTATCCATTCTATGTATACTAGGAAGCTGTCATGTCAGACAGTATGTTTTTGATAAAGAACAACTCAGAGATGCACATCACTTTATATATTTAGGGCCCTCTCAGTCAGAGGAAGCAAACTGCTGTAACCATTTATCATTAAAGGAGAACTATGAGGTAAGTGATTTACACTCATCCTCATAGTTAAAGCCGACCTGTGACATTAAAACTGTCACACGTCAGCTCTATTGATCAAAAAGTGAGCGAACAAATACCATCACTCGCTCACTTCCCGATCATCTTCCTGCAGAGAGCTGTGACTATCAGTCACCACTCCCCGCAGAGATTCCTCCCCTCTCTGATCCCCCAGCGCTGACTGGAAGAATGGACGTGGAGGGACCGGCACAGCAGACTCTGCCTCTAAATAGGCAGAGCCCGCTGTCAATCAGCCAGCTGGGTGGATCTCGACAGTATTGTCTGGATCCGTTTTGGCTGCGGCGCTCTCAGTATATACAGCGGGCAATAGCTTGCAATAGCTAGCTTGCAATAGCTTGCTATATACTGAGCTTTGGGTCACGGGAGGATGTTAGTATATATGCTCCCGTGACCCTAAAGAGAACTATGGGATAAAAAGGTTACCTCATAGTTCTCTTTTTAAAGGCTCACTTTTGATGTAATTCTCGTTTTTAGCTGCCAGTGATGTCATATCATCCTATGTACAGATCAGTCTTTCCTGCAGTCAGGGGGAGGATCTAGGTAACCATATCCTGGCAGAGAAAGCCGACTACGTCTCCCATGAGCCATTGCAAAATGGAGGAAGTGGGAGGCATGTATAGGCAGAGCTGAGGGTGGAGATGGGGAAGAGCTACAAAGTGCTGCATGCTCCAGTGACTTTTTGTTTTTTTTGTAACCGCACACATACTGTAGGTGCCTCTACATGAAAATTCCCCAAGCTTTGAAGTCATCGTACCTCCTCCTATCAGCATCTGGTTGTGTGGAATAGTGATGTCCAGTACATGAAGGAATCTTTCTTTCGAATTGATTCTTTTCAGTGAAATGGATGAAATGATTATCTGACTGAACTGATAACTGATTCATTAGAAACAGCTCAGTGCTGCATCATAAGCACAGCAGCCCTGGTAATATAATCCTAGAACCAGAGAGCTCAGCGCCTCCCTGCAACCAATCGGAGCGCTAACAGTACACTGAGAATCACAACTTAGAACAGTTCTCAGTCAATAGTACACCAGACACTGAATCAAAGGGAGATCAGAGAGATGACATTGTGTTGATCAGAATAGATTATCATTTAGATTGAGTCAGCTTCTGAGCTTCAGTTCACTTGTCAGCAGGCTCAGCAAGTGAACTGATGAATCTGTTCATGTAAAAGATCAGAACTTCCCATCACTATTTTAGAAGAGCAGTGTGACTTTACACAGAGTTCCAGCCCTGCCCAGTCTCGGGGAAGGAGGTGTGACAGCAGAGAGCTCTGCACTGAGAGTGGGCAGGGTCAGACCAGCAGCCTAAGGCTTCCCTACTCCACCCACTGCAGTGAGTGCTGGGATGTGATCTCTTCCTGCTGCCAGCAATAGAACTACAGGGGGGAGGTTATTAGACCACAGGCTAGGCTGATAGACTGCACAGTGTCTAGTGGTCTAACAGAAAGGAAATTAAGGAAGCACGGACTTGTACCTTGGATTCCTGGAAGACTATACTGCCATGCAGAAAAGTAAGAACAGATTTTTGATACTTCCAAAAGCTAGTTACATTTGGCTGGAAAAAAAACAATTTCCCAGAGCTACATACAAGTACATGCTCTTTAAAAGTTGCTGCTGGTATTTGTAAGTACTTGTGTGCCTCAAACGCCAGGCAGTTGTCATACCAAGCTTGCATAGTGCTTGCTAGTGTTGGAGCTGGCCTTTTCCTTTCTGCCACCTCAGGCATTCCTGTTGGCCCATCACTTTTTATAGGCTGCCTCACTGGCCAAATGAAATGTGTGGGAGAGGGTTTGAAAGGGCTATTTTGTCTGGCAGGAAAGTTTACTGCTATAATGCCTATCAAGCATAGACAACGTAGTGTAACCTGCCACAGTTTGTGTGTGTGTGTGTGTGTGTGTGTATATAAGCTCGATGGCAGCTACACTGGACCTAGCGGGATGCCTGGAGAAGAGAGAACTGTTCCCCATTTCATCACACCATTACCACTTCAAATGTTATTTACTAGAATGCACTGAAAATATCAACATGGCCCGGATGATTCTAATCACGCATATCATGGAATGATACCATAATCGTGGTGAATCGCGGAATCTCAAGTGATGGAAAGTGAATCTTATGTGTAATGGTTTATTTTAACATTTGACCGCGATAAAAAAAAAAACCCTAAACAGTATTGTAGGACTGCATAGTTCCAAGGGATTTTAATGGTTTAATGCCAGTTTGTGTCTTCTCTCTGTCTAGTGGCACCAACAACAACAACAACAACAACAAATAAAACTGATGCTCCTACAACACCTACTATTACTAATTCAACTACTGCTACATCTGGTAAGGCTCTAACCCCTTCTCTTGTTCAAAAAACAAAACCTTTTATTATGGTAGTGATATAATCATTGATCCATGGCAATATTAGTTAGTCTTAAGTGAGTCTAAGGCCTCATTCAGACAGGCAACAAGGAGATGGTAAAAACAGGCCATTGATCTGTGTTAGTACTGCTTCCCAAACGTACCCCTCAAAAGCTAAAATATTTCAAACAGGGACAAAGAGCAATAAAAACCTGAGAGATTCTAACCATTATGACACTCCATCCACAGCTAATTATAAGTTTGGCAGAAGTTTACTTTAATTGCATGACTATAACGTGTGTCGTAATGCAGCATTACTTACTATAAATGCTGAATGATGTGCATTCATTTTGGTTGCTGCCTTGTATATGTGTATTTTATGTTCAGGATTGCAGGGCTTTGTTGCTCTGCAGTCCTAACCCTGTGTAAGCTCTGTGTCAGATGGTGTTTTGTAGCTTAAACAGCAGGGGTAGGCAAACTCTGACTCTCCAGCTGTGGTGAAACAACAAATCCCATAATGCATCTGTCTTTGGGAGTCATGCCCGTGGCTGTCATTCTTGCAATGCCTCATGGGACTAGTAGTTGCACCACAGCTGGAGATGAAGAGAAGATTCAGAAGTGTCACTTGATCTTTTTAGGTAGGTTTTTTTTTTTTTACTTTGTCATGATGACTACTGTCACTGAAACGGAAATAGATGGGAAATACAAAAGTTGTCAGCAGCACGGCTCCAGTGAGCATTTGCTAACAGAATTTGATGATAAGCAGTGATAAGTAATGCTCCTCCAGCTTCAGGAGACGCACTAGTTTGTGTGATGGGTGTTCTTTGGCATTGGTAAAACCATCCGTGTAAACTGGATATAGCGAGCTGCTGGCATTCGTCTGTTTTATCAAGATGTGATAGCACTATAAAACAAGTGAATCCCGATCTGTGAATTTGCACTTTGGAAAGCTGCAGTTTCTCATACTAATTATTTTTTTTTTATTCTCTGCTTTAGCCCCAACAGTTGTGCCCACAACGTCCCCTTCGAAAAGGAACACCTTTGACGCTGCTAGCTTCATTGGTGGGATAGTCCTTGTTTTGGGTATCCAAGCAGTTGTATTCTTCTTGTACAAGTTCTGCAAAGCCAAAGAAAGGAATTACCATACCCTTTAAAACCTCTCGCTTCGGACTGCTGGCCAACATCGCTCTAACCAAATGTTGTAAACTTGAAGATTTCTCATGAATCTCCTCATTTGAAGAATGAGGCCTTTTTTTTTTTTTTTTATCTCCGCAAATTGAATGGAACCATGTTTGTGACATCACTGTCAAGAAGAAATGTATTACAGCTCTGTAATGCTGTGAACTGCATGCTCCAATCACATCTGCTTCCTAGAATATCTAAAACTGCTTTTTTTTTTTTCCCCCACTCCTGTTCTAGAGGGGAAGAAATATTTCTATGAGTAAATCTACAAAGTACAGTACTGACATGAACTTTACATTACAGAGAGCGTAAAAGCTCTGGGAATGTGATATAACTGACAAACACACATACGCATTAGGCGAGTGATGTAAAGAGGCAATGTAGTCTCCAGCTAGTACATAACCATTATGGGTTAGTTGAAGTATATTTTTTATTTTCCCTTTCAATTCTCATAATGTGACTTTTACCAGAAGTTGATTTATAAAATGAAATCAAGTGTTGATTTCCAAAGCAAACGGTTTCTTAACATAAGTGCACCTTATTTCTAAGTGAAGGTGAGGTTTAGGAGATTTGTGCCTTACAGACGTACTGAAAGTATAGCATTTAATTTACTATTGCTTTGATTTCCATGGGAATTCTGTATAATTGTTTTTTTTTTTTATTGACCACACTTTTTTCCATTGTGAACTCACTCAAGTTAAATAATCATCTCTTCTTCCTCCATTATGATTGCAAGATTCAGATGAACTAGAAAATGCTTAATTGGATGGAATTCTCCAAATAGTATGGTTAGATAAAAACATATTGTATAAAATAAAAATAAAGGGGCTTATTCAGCTTGCGCATCGAGAAATAATTTAGAACATGTTATCTTTTTATTAGTGAGTGTGAGGGTTTAAGTATGAAAATATAACACGTGATCTAGCTTGTTTGTGGACAGTAGCAATATCTAGATCAGATCAGAACTAGGCCTTTCTGTATTCTTTACTGCTTTTAATACAGTGCCAAGACTTCCTATTAAAATTGTGGTACATTGTAGGATAACAGACTTTTATAGAAATATTTCACCAATGATGTGCACTAACAATATTGCGGTTAACACAGTTTAGCAGGCACTAGTGATATCACTTTAAAGTAAGGGGACCAGCACCTGTGATTCCCAGTTTATCTAATTGTAGAAAATGATTGTGCCAAAGGCGGGTTCCTTTTTGAGTTGGCAGGCTTAGTGGTGAAGCACTCCAAAACATAATACAAATGAGGGCATCCATAGCAGACAAATGTTTCCTGGTTAAACCTCAAACCGGTGAACAATCATCCAGCATATTTAACTATCAGCTAGACCTTTTGTCAGGTTTCATCCACTATGTAATAAAATGTGCTACTTCTATGTGTGTGTGCTCAGTGCCTTAGAGAAGATCTGATGTGGAATACATGTTGTGCTCTTCACAAGGTAGTAATGGGTATTCTGCTCTTAGTGCAGACTACTACACCTCCTGTTCATGGATTCACTCTTCAGACGGTATTTTCTCTATATTTAAAGACTTTATTCTACACTTTTTTTGGTCTGTCGGGGGAAGTTGAATTGTCTAACTAATAGATATACTTCAAATCAAGTTTATAGTGGAAAAGACTGAGTATTACAGAACATTGCCTTTACAAATTCTATGCTGTACCCAGGAGTACATGTTATTTCATAGACTTGTGCTGCATGAATCAAGCTATGCTTTGGGCAGTATGTAATCACTATGAACTAGGCCTATAATCTTCATTTTTCTCTAGCAATCAATTTGCCTAATTGACAAACTGACAATTGAAATGTGTTTCCTACATTCATTACCGACCACGCATTATGTGGGGTATTCTTGCGTGGTACAAGTCTTTTTTTCTTTTATGTATCCGCTTGTATTGCTTCTTTTTTCAAAAAAAACTGTATGCGATGTGGTACTTTATTGTCTTCACAGCTACTAACATGGTATGTACATTTTGAACACTTTGGGAACTAGAGGTGTAAAATTGTTGTGTGAGATAAAGAAAACCTTCCTAACCACAGGAACGTTGGTAGGAATGTAAGATTCTAAGTTCATGAGAAGGTGAAATATGTCTGTGAATTGATAGGTCTGGTAGATCTTGGTGCTTGAGCAGTGCTTTTGGTGCCAATTGTTACTGGGTAAATGCCAACTTTCCCTGGTTAATTCAGTGCTGAGGAACAGGTGATGGTTGAGGCTTAGGGATTTAAAAGGAAGGGTACAAGTAAAATTCATCTTTCAAGTATTGGGTTAATGTGCAATTGAAGCTAAAGCTTTTTGGAAGTCTTGGGTAGGGTGAAGACGGATTAGAATACTTCAGGTTTTTAGTGCTGTATGTGTTCCTGTTGGGGAGATTCACCTCCAATTTATCAGGGTGACAGTTCTCAGTGAAAGAAAATACCACATGTTTGGTGTCATCAGAACAAGAATAGATGGGAAATCTTTCAGTGGGGACACAAGTTTTGGCGACCCCCGCTGCTTACAGGTATTTCCCTCTCTTTTGGAGGGATTTCCTCTCACTTCCTCTTGTGGCTATTAGACAGGAAGTAAAGGGAAATCTTCCCAATGGGATAATGGCAAAAAAATAGAATAACCCTATCCAAAGCTTAAAAAAAAACCTTTCAATTCAGTACTTTAAGGTTAGAATGGGGTTCGTGTTAAGTGGCTTCTTTTTCTTTTCAATATCTTTAATTGGTTTGAAGTAATGTAATACAAAGTAAGCATAGTTCTGTTGTACTGAGCATCGTAATTGTGAGCATACAATATACAAATGTATTTTTTAAAAGCAACATCATATGAATATTGACATTTATATCAATCGTCTGAAACGAGTATAACTTTGCTAATGAAATAATTCTTTTAACATTTGCTAAACAAAATTACATTTTGCAAGTGGGTTGTTTCAAAATGTTTGGTTAATTTGGGGGGGGGGATACACCTTAAAAATACATTCAAGTACCCTAACTATTACCAAAAATGTATCTTATTTGTGTATCATGTGGCTGTAGATCCTCAAATCATCTCTGAATTCATGCTGACACCGCCCTTCCTTCTGGAGGGTGGCTGCTATAACTTCAATACAAATTGGCTAACTAAACGCAAGATTGTAGTCCATCATGGGAGTGAGCTTGGAGTGGTGGCTACTTTCCATGGAGAACAAAAGTAGCCATCCTGCAGAAGGAAGGACAGTGTCGGCACCAATTCAGAGATGACTTAAGGATCTATAGTTGAATGATACACAAATAAGATACATTTTCAAGTGGATCTGATCGGAATCTCAATGTTAGTCTGTGGGCAGCCAGATCTAAATGGATTTGCGTTCGTTTACATCCAATTGCCTCCGCCCAGGTTCAGAAATACCAAACTGAGTCCCATTTTGCTGGACTTGATTGTGTTGGATCGGGAGTAATCTGATGTAAATGAATACATGTCCACTTACATCTGACTTCTATAGACTTGACATGGGTCTGGTAAGTTTTTTTTTTTTTGTTTTTTTTTTTCTCCATCACAGATCCCCTGATAACCGATACTGACAGCATGTGTGTGAAAGGGGCCTTATGGTTACATTTAGATTCTTAGGCTTTAGATAAGGATATAGATCAGTGTTGGGGTTAGCTAAGAGTAAAGCGAAGGTTAGAGGGCAGGGACATTGTGGAAAAAAATATATTTCTAAGTTTTTTTGTGCCAAAAGCTCTGCTCTGGTAACTATTTTTTGTTCTTCTTAATTATTATTACTATTGTATTTCCATTTGATTAGACAACTTTGTAAATACCGCATATAGCCTACCAAAGTAAAGCTGTTTTGTAAGAAATATTGAAAGTTTTTTTTTTTTAAACACTAAATCTATATCTGTATACAGTTTTCTTCATTTGTGAATCTGTTGCACCATCTCCTACCTGGAGATACTGCTAATAACAGCACTTCCTGTTGCAGGATGACCACATTGCACCACTCCTTTACAATTAGCTGCAACTTTGTCAGTCTACCATGCAAGCCTCTTAGGATGGCCGTTGGGCGACCTGTCTGATAGACCTCATATCGATGGCCTACTAAAGAAATGTGCATGCCAAGCTGACAATGCTGCTGCTAATTGAGAGGCAGTGACAGTTTTCAGCCTGGAAGTGCTGAATCACCAGGTAAGAAATTGCGACAGATTCACAAGATCTTATTTACTCCAACTGTATACAGTGAGACATGTCTGAAAAAATAGATTTAGGTTTAACATACAGTTTAATAATGCAACAGGCAATGTAACGACTTGATTTTTCAGAAACATCCAATAAAACTGGAATGTCAAAGCGATCCAGCTAATGGTACAGTGTAAATCTGGGTATCATACCAACATATGATTGTTATGTAACTAACAAAACTGTGATGAGCTTTTTGACAAGCGTGTTCATTTTAGTTCTGTTACAGATACAAATGCCTTTTTAAGAATATGAGCATCCATGAGCATTACAATATTATCGGCTGGATAACTGCAAATAAAATTGACTTTGTTCTAAATACATATGGTGTTTATGATTTGTTGAACTCGGGACATTTTATTTCTAATTGAATTGGCCTACGCTAACATTGAGACATACCGTTTGCCTAACTAGGTTTAGAACAGACTTGTTTCTACATGAAATATGCCAACATTATTACAAGATACTTGACTCGCCTCAATGACACACTATAATGAAAGACCCTGTATTTTGATAATAGGATAGTATCTAGTATGAATTCCATTCCCATTTGACATGCCTTTAGATTTTTTTCCACCCTGCAGACCAAGCATGTGACAATTAGGACAAACTATTATACCGACTGGTGCTTACAAGAGTCTGCTTTTATTTATATGGCTTAAGCCCTTGATGGAGGGTAAACAAACCTTAACCCCAGTTATGCAACTTTGGCTGTGTGCATCCATGGACACAGGGAGCCCTGTGGCAGGCCACGCCCCTCCTCTCCATCCAGCAGTTTGACTTACAGCAGAAGGAGCCTATGGCTCCTCTGCTCTCAGTATCCTCCCCCCCGCAACCAGGAAATTCAGGAATAGAGGATGGATGCGTAGAATGTATTAAGGTAAGAAAATGCCCTGCCCTTAATACTACTTTAAGGTTTTTGTGTTCAACCAAATTGGGCTTTCGTGTGGTAGCCCAATTATTAGTTTAATGTCAAAAGTTTAAAAAATTATAATTGAACTATTTTTGGGACAGTTTTCTTTTAACTGTATATTTCTTGCTATTTTATTGACCCACCAACAAACCACAACCTAAAATAAAGTCTCCTACTGCTGGCTTGCATGGTGACACCACAAAATGTGTACCATGTATGTTTTTTGCACCTGTAGTAGGGCCCAGAAACAAACACGCTGCCCTTAACACTGAACTAGAGCAAGGTCTGATCTAACTATAATATGTTTTTGTCGGACTTCTCTAGCAAAAGGGGAAATGTTACAGGGGAGGGTTCCAAAACCTGTGGTTAATGGGATTAGTTAGCTATCAGAGTGATTGCATGATTGGAAGCTGGTTCTTCTGGCTCCTGAGTTGAGTTGTCATTGCGATAAAGCTCGCTTCCAGCACAAACCCATGCCACATATATGCAACACCATGAAAGAAAGCCCACTTCGGAGATGCCACATGTGTTAGGCCGTCATAAAGAGGTTAAAGGTGGCTGGAATTGGGTTTTAATCTGTATCACTTAAAAGTCATCTAAATCTACACATCCCCTCAAAACTACCCTGTCCATAGGATGACAACGCTGCAGTGATTTTCCTGCAGAATGATTGGTTACCCTGTTTAAAGGAAGTGAAAAATCAACAACTGTTCTGGCATCATCAAAAGGTAAGAAAAACTATGTTACATTGCTAATTGGCAAAACAAAAAACTGCTCTGTTAATGCTACTGACGGAGACTGCACCAGATATCATTTATTGCTTTCGCTTCTAGTTCTAGCTCGAGGTTGCATTCACGCCTTTTTTATGCAATGCACTTTCAGTCTGGCATGTTTTGTCTTTATAGCAGTTACAACTCTTATATTGCTGTCCGGAAAGCAAATTCTTTGATCACTTTAATTATCAAGAGCTCAAATATTTAAATTCAATGGCTCTTTTACAAATTCCATAATGCCAGGAATTTACTATAATCATTACATTCCTTTAAGCCAAATTCAGACTAATGAAAAAAAATGTTGTTTTACTGCATAATATTTTGCAATTTTTTTTTGACAGTTCAGTACAAAGTAACAAATTTGCTTGATAGTCTGCCCATTCCCCTGTTCCCCTGTGAATCACCTGGTACTTTTAGGTACATGGGAGCAGGTGACCCCCTCCATCCCACAATGCAGCACTCTTTGCCTGGGCAGCCACTTGTCAGGCCAGAGGGATGTCTCATTGGGGGTTCCTTAGCCCCAATTTATTTTGGAGCTCCAGTGGGTGAACAGGGAGGTCCATACAGTGCAGGAAAAGTAAGGATCTGTGGAGGGAATGGGATATGTTGGTTTGCCCTAAATAAACTAAAGGTAAATGCAAACCCTTACTGAATGACCGAACTTTGTATAACAAATAATTGCCACTTTTCATCATTTGTTGCATCTCTTTGTTGGTGACCTCCTGCATCCACTTCCTTTCTACATGCACGCAATCCAAAAGAGCTGCATGGCCTTTCGCAGGTTGGGTTTCCTGATGAGAACATTGGATTGTGTCTGTAATGTGTGTTGAAATGCACATCAGAAACACATGACAAGGCAGGAGTGCGAGATGAGTACAGAGCATTGTCATCCTACTGTATAATACAGTGCCTGAACAAGGACCTTCATAGCAGGATCACTAGGTGTTATTGTAATGAAATCTGTAGATTTAAAAAATGACGGTAAACTGTTAAACTCGTATACAGGCAGTCCCAGGGTTACATACAAGATAGGGATTTTAGGTTTGTACTTACGTTGAATTTGTATGCAAGTCGGAACAGGTACATTTTTTAAGTGTAACTCCAGCCAAAACATTTTTTTCCGTTTTGGATAGCATAGGGAAGGGTCACGGTTCTTTTGCTGTCTGTTCTGTTGTTCAGAATATTATAATACAGGGTTATTCAAAAAGAATGAACAGATTTCTTTACGCAATATTTTATTAAGGAAAAGTAATACAAAACTCCAGCCATGTCACAAGTATTATACTCACAATCAACTTTTATTTCCTGTCTTACAAGTGTTTAATGTGACCACCATCTGCAGCATGGGCAACATCAATGCGATAAGATAATTTTTTTTTTATTTTCAAAGAGTTTATATTTCTTTTCTTTTCTTGCAAACAGACAAGTATATTTACGCGTACATCAAGTAGCAATTACCAAGTACAGTGTAGGAAATATGCAAACCAAAGTAAAAATTATAACCATGTAGCTAGGAGAGGTCCTAAGAATGTTCAAGATCCCAATGAACATTGCATCAACATATTAACTTGGACTTCGAGTCAAGGTTACAGAGAGGGGGCCCGAGTTACCTGGTTCTTAGGGGGGGGAGCTGGTCATCAACTCCGCCTTCGGGTCCTCTTATTGTCAAGGAATATACATTGAAAGAGGGAGGAAGGTATGACGCAATCCATGCTTCCCACAGCTTCCTGAACGGCACCAAGGCGTCCCTTTTGGATAGCAGTGAGCTTCTCAAAAAAACATCACACGTGTTACTCTGCGTTTGACTTCAGCAAAGGGGAGGTCCAAGCTTTCTCAATGACCCTCTTGGCCTCTGTGAGAATGAAGGTGATCAGTCGGTGTTGACGTATCGTGCACACCAATGGCTTTTTATGTAGCAGAGCTTCCAAGGGGTCCTTGCGAAACGTCTTGCCGGTAACAGTATATAACAGTTGGTAGACTCTATGCCAAAATCTCTTTACCTTGGGGCAGGACCACCAAATGTGAAGGACCGAGCCCTCCACCCGGCAACCCCTAAAACAGTTTGGGGAGTGTGATGGGATAGCTTTGGAGATCCGGAGTGGGACGCGATAAGAGAATTTAAACGTGAAATAAAGGTTTCGTCTTCCATCATCTCCAGCATCAAATTGCAAAATTCCATCCGTTTCCTTTTGTCGTCATTGGGAAGTGCCTGGACGAGCTGCAGTCTGGTTTCAAATGTAGACGTCTTCTTAGCACACGCCAGATAGTGGATTGAGGGATCGCAAGCTCACGACTAGCTCGATTTGTGGACTTCCGCGGGCTCCTCTCAAACGCAGCACGGATTCTCGCCACTTGTTGCTCCGAAACTCGTGGTCGTCCTGGACTTATTTCTTTACGAAGACAACCACTCACTTGAAACTGTCGAAACCACCGTTGAATGTTCTTAGTAGAGAGTGGATTAATGTCAAATCGCCTTCGAAAAGCACGCTGCACCGTGGCAACCAAATTTGTTTTCGCAAACTCGAGAATGCACAATGCTTTTTGCTGAGGACTCGCCATTCCGAGGGTAAATAAACAACTGAACGTTTCCGGAAGAACGACGCGACTACATCGCCCCCTGTGGCAGCCATTCAAAAATTACTTTCAAATGGTCTCTGACTCATTCCAAAACTAAGGTAACTCTTCTTTCAAATGGTCACTGACTCATTCCGTGACGATGCTTGAGAACTGAATCAATGTGTCATGATATCGGTTCATTCTTTTTGAATAACCCTGTATAATTAAAAACATTTTTTATTTAAAATGGCACAGCAAAAAAAGTTTTTCTATTTTTAATTTTATTTTGTAAACTTAATTTTTTATTTGTTTGCATTTTTAATATTTATTTCACTTTTTCTTTACTTTTTTTTAAAAAAAATTGTCTTTTTTTTATTTTATTTAAACTTTTTTTTTTTTGTATTTTAATGCTGGGAGCCATAGCCAGCCTGCTATTGGATATTGCAAATTGCAATAGCCAATAGGCTGGCTATTGCATCTGCCTGCTGTCAATCAGCAGAGGAGGGGCCTGAAGCAGAAAGTTCTCTAACAGGTCCGTCCCCCCATGCTGATTGACAGCAGACAGTGGGCAGGTGCAATAGCCAGCTTGCTATTTGCTATTGCATTTTACAATATCCAATAGCAGGCTGGGTATGGCAAGATTTTCCGTGAGTCGGACATCCGTAACCTGGGAACTGCCTGTATAAGATTTTAGTGATTGGGTTTACATATACTTCCTAGTAGAACTTTGGTCAAGCTATAAAATCACAGATGTGATGTAGACTGCCCATACAAGTAAAAGCCAGAACGGGCTCTCTAGTTTTCAGAGCACCTGATGCTGCATTTGCAGGAGGAGGAGTCAATAATGGCAGCCTCCATATTTCTCTCTGATCAGGTTTCTCTTGAATTATAGCGGACGCAATATATTTTCTTTGATATTCCAAGACCAAGGAAATAAAAATGTACTGGACCATACACGTAAAGCTGAAGTTTATTCTGCCTATATTTTATCATTCCTGGTCCCACCCCCCTCAACATGCCAATAAATTTTGTTTTAAATGTATCAATTTTCATTACATAAATTTATTTTAGACTCAGTGATGTCACCACTTCCTGAAAACATCACAGCACCCTGCCTCAGTATACCTTGATGTAAGGCTGGCACTTAGCAGGAGTTATGCAAGTATCAAAATGTCTTGATGCGTGGAACCAGTGTAGAGAAGTGGGCGATGCTAAGCAGACTGTGCTTGTATGCTGAGCACCAATATGTTAGGCTGAGCCTCCATGATTCAAAGAATTCCAATGAAGAAAAGCGGAGGGCTGTGGAGGAAAGCTACATGATGCTGGATGTCCTCCAGCCATGAAACAAGATGGGTTCTATGACTTTCTGCAGCTTCTAATGCACATAGTAAGAAGCTCACAGTGTACAGTGAAATCAGAGTAAGCAATTTCAGTACAGAGGAGGATCTGCAAGACTGACGGTACAGCTGCAGTACAGCTTTAAGAAGACACAATGGAGGTTTGGAAGTAGGAGATAATAACTTATGTATTGAGTTCATGTACATATTACAGAACAATATTCATTGCATTATTAGCAACATAGAAATCACCAGTTTTATTTAGTATTCAGTCTTAATTCATGCAGTTGTGTGAGGATGGCGTGGGATGTGCCCTCCTCTAGATCTGATACTCTGCATCTGCTCGGTACCTAGGGGGGAAAAAAAATCATGTTATTCTACAAAAGGCTCCTATAAAGTAGCAGTACAATTCTTCGTCACAAACTAGTTTTGCTCAGACATCATTAACTTGTGATTCTTCCTCTGTATTCCCTTCTATCTTTATTGTGTATATACATATCTAGAGGTTGTACTTTTTTCTTTTCTTTTTCTTTTGAAGGAAACCAGTGAGGACAGAAACATGGAGAAAGGGATGAGTGAAATTGAAAGTTGTTCCTTTGCCTGAGTTTGACAGGGACATTTTTCCAAAATCTGCCATTTTGGTCAACAGAAGGTGAAATTAAGGTAGTTTTTGGTGTTTTTTTTTTTTTTAAAGGTCTTTAAATGGCTCCTGAAGGTTACAACATATTTTTTTTACATTATCTTTCACGTTCAGTGGTCACCAGGTCAAATAGAGAGGGTATATCTCCCTAATGTGGACGGAAAGCAATACAAACATGGTAGGTGTTCTAATCCCTCTCCACAAAAAAAAAGTTTGGGCTTCTATTGCACTTTAAGTACTGCATCTTTTATTTTTTTTGTAAATTTGTATGTGTGCATTGCATTTTTAGTATCTCATCAAACATGTTATTTTTACTAGTTCTCACAGTTTTTGGCCTCTGGAGTCTCATCTCTCTGTGGGTGCTTGTTCTAGGTTCACCTCTTGGACCATACTGGAGAATATCCCACGCTTCTTGGTTAAACATCAGCGGAGCAGCAAAAGTAACTAAAATATTACAAATATTACAAATACAAAGAAAGTTACAATGGCATATAAGCAGTTTATTGTGACCAGATGGCAGTTATGAATTAGAATCAATCACTAGAATGCACCCCTGCTGATCTTCTTTAAGGTTCCTTCTGGGAAGTTTAAAGAAGATCAGCAGGCACATTGTAGGTCAGGTAGAGTGAGAATTATGTCCAATGGCAGAGTCTATCATAGACAAGATTCATATCTCACCTTGTGACGGAAACAACTCCCATTTTAGATTTTTGTTGCACTCAAATGTTTTATTGAAGAAATATACTTATAAAACAATTAACAATGACAGAGCAAGAAAAATGTATAAATTGTGTATAGATACAATATTGATAACATCACAGAGCATGGATCCAAATAGTGAGTATGAACACATCAACAAGAAAGACCACAGTAAATACATCAAAGCTGATCCCAAGCATACAACGACTAACATCTACTGCCCAGTATTACTCAACAAGAAACATAGCTCGTACATTAATTCAAAAGTCAATAAGAAATTAAAAATGGTTGCAAAGAAGGTCCCGGCAAAGATACTAGTTTTGGTATTAGTGCTGATACTGAGTATTTGGGCGAGTACTTGCCCAAATGCTCTGATACTGGAACTTCTGATCAGAGGGAGATCTCCCTCTGGCATCACCGAGGAGGCATGGAACAGGCTTCCTTTCCAACTGGGGTCTGAGAGAACATGTTGGTATATTCGGAGGAATAAACAAATTCAGTCTAATAGTTTTATTGAATTTCTCCACCCTCCCTTTCTTAGACACAATCAGATCCTCCATTCACCAAATCTCATTTACCTTGGTCAACCACATAGTCGGGGGGCAGGATTGTCTCCACAGCTCTGGAATACAGCTCCTTTCCGCAATAAGCAAATGCGGGAGAGCCGATTTCAACCATGAAGTTTTGCCTATAGAATTATGATGTAACAGGAAAAAAAGCCGGATCCTCCAGCACCAGATAGTCCGTAAACCTTTTCAGCAAACTACTGACTTCAGTCCAGAATGGTCTGATTTGGCAATCCGAGAAGACATGTAGAATGGTGCTCTCAAAATTACCACATCTCCAACATGTGGAAGTACACAAGGGCATGAGGCGATGCAACACCGCTGGAGTACGGTACCACTGGGTATGTTTTGTTTTTTTTAATTATAGCTCCGTTGTTTGTATTTAATACAGATGGACATTTTATGAGCAAAGTTGAGAAGTCTATCTCTCTGGTCAGGGGAACACTGGATCCCCAAAGCCTGCTCCAATTTTCCAAAGAAAGGAGAAACGATCTCATTTTAGATTTGGTTCGAAATCCTTATATTGGAAAATGTATTCCAAAATTATAACTACAACTATGGTGGAAGACTTGAGCAACTACTGAGCTATCATAACCAGAGGACTGCTCTACACATCAGTTAAAGTGACACATCAGTTAAAGTGAATTAAGCACCATTCTACATGAAGGAGTTATATAAAAGAACTCTCGAGATTGGGTTAATATTATCATCACCTGTCAGTGCTAGTTTTTACACAGCTCTCCATACTAGTCAATCAAAAGATTCACATAGCAGTTGATTTATAAAGTGTTCACGTAGAGAACAGCTCTGCGAACAAGATTCACAGCACATTATAGTCATTACATGAAGCCAAGGAGCACAGGAATTCCCTCTGCTCCTTCTATAGTGTGGCCATAGTGTGCTGAGAATCTCATTCACAGAGCTGTACTCTATCTGGACAATTTATAAATCAACCCCTTTAGTGTTTGACTTTTACATTTATTTTATTATCATGCGGTACCAGTAAAAGCTCAGTAAGCAGGCCTAGCTCTGTAGCTCTCTTCCAAATGACATATTACTCCATGTGGACAATATTGTCCTTATGCCAAAGTGCAAGGCAAACCAAAAAACAAGTTCAGTACATCCCTGCAATACAGGCACATTTCCCCATGTTTTTTTCTTTTTAAAAATGCTGGAAGTACAGAACAATACCTGTTGAGCCTGCCAGAAATAGTCAGTTTTTAACTCTGAGCTGACAACCCCACCTCCTGTTACAGTGATGAGAAGAGAGGAAGGTATTCCAGGCAGGGCTGACAACACTGCTTGGAATTTCAAAGCACAGTAACCAAAAGTAGCCAGTCAGCCTATACTCTACTGGTGTATGACTAGTACAAGACATCCCGATTGGCTATGATTTACTATACAATTAGTACAAAAAAATATAGACTTCTTTCTTAATTACGTCTGATATATTTACAAGAAGGTATTTGGCATTTTGGTGGCAGAGAAGGGTCTGTTTTTGAAGTAGGTGACCAGTTTAAACAATATCTGAATGTCTGTCTTTATTATGGCAATGGGCATATATAGCGTATTTATATGCATTTTAATTTCATGCATTGTGGGTGAGCACAGGGGAGTTTGCCATCCCATGGTAACAAGCCTGAATAGTTGCCAGCTCTGGCTGGTGTTTCGCCCAGCTCACTGACGTCACTGGTTGCCAAGAGCTTGTTGGGACACCAGCCAGAGTGATGTCACTGGTTGCCAGGAGCTGGGTGGGACGGCAGCCAGAGCGTCCCTGGTTGCTAAGAGCTGGGCGGGGAGATGTGTATGGCCCTTATACATCTCCCCACCCAGCTCTTAGCAACCCTGGACGCTCTGTCCAGAAAGGGGGCAGCAGGCACACTGCAAACATTGTGCACCAGAGCGGCCATGCCACACTGCCTGCTGCCTCCCCCATGTGGCCCAAAGAGATGCCGTCTGAGGCAACAGCCTCAGGCTGCTTCATTATTGGGGTGGTTCTGGTCCTGGCAAAATACATAGTTATACATTGGCTTTTCAAATTAGATTATTCACATTACCTGCTGAATGACTTCTCATTTTGTGGGCCTGGATACAAGCTGATGTCTTCCTCATTCCTAAAGAAAGGTGAAAAGTCATTAGGGCAAATCGGACTTTTGTTGCCTTTCCTAATGTAGCTCATTAGATCAGCCCCTTAGATCAGAAATCGCCATAATAATGTACAGGTTTCAACAATAAGGCAGCCACAAATATTTTTAAACTGTAGCTAAGTTGGTGTTTCCCAGATTTGTCCTCAGGTCCCACCAACAGTACATATTTAGTTGGTAACTATACACAAGTGCATCAGTTAGAGGTTGATTTACTTAGGCTGGGCAGTCCGATCAGGTCAGTTTTTCAGGTGGATCTGATCAGACGCTCAATGTTTATCTATGGGCAGCCAGATCTAAACTGACGTGTGTCCCTTTACATCCAATTACCCCCGACTCCATCTAAGTCCAGAAAACCGAATGTAACAGAGTCTTGTTTCGGTGGACCTGATCGTAACAGATCGGGGTAATCTGATGTAAACGAACACATGTCCACTTACATCCAACCCCCCCGTAGACCTAACATAAGTTCGGTAAGTTCAGTTTTTTCCTCCAGGAGAGGTGCAGGAAAAAAACTGGATTGACACAGATGTTACAAAGGTGGCATCCGTTCCATACTGCTCTGATCAGAACTGATGGTGCTTGTCTGAAGGAAGAAATCATTTGAGCCACTAAGGTGACCAGACACCACACCCCAAAATGCATAATACAACTACAGAACAAAATGAAAATGGGCTTTGTATGTGTCATTCCAACAATGAAAGGAACTCAATACACATATACAAAACATCCCAATTAAATTAAACATATTAAAATAAAACAATGTTAAAATATATAAAAACATTGCTCATACTATAATATATACCAGCGACATCTTTCTTTACAATATTAATGACCTTGACCAAACATCACGCCTCCCTGGACCCCACCAGGACATTGTTCTTTACAATCATCTCAATATACTCTCTAATCATCAATGTACACATAGAAAAATGATATCAATCCATTCTTTTAGAATAAAATGAATCGCGCTTAGATGTGCAGTAGGTCCAGCCCTCTACATGTTTCGCCAAAGCTTCTTCTGGAAGATAGGAGGCAGCCATATTTAGAGCTTGGTGGTATATAAATCCACACACCCAGGGGAACGTCCCCCATCATCCAGGAGATATGCAGAGAGTGGGAAGTTGACAAAGATAGCAGATTAGGCAAACCTTGACAAACTTCTATCGATACCGAGAGTTGTACTCGTGAATAGAATTAGTCCAAAGAGATCTCTAAACAAGTGTTCGTCTACACCCTGTCCACACTATCATCCACCGCTGCATCTGACACAGCCAGGAACCAGCGGCTTGTGGTGTCTGTGGCCGGGTGGGCCTGTGGTCTGCATCCATAATCCCTTGTCCAAAGGGGGGGGAACGTCGGTGTCGAATGCTGTGGCGGGTGATTAGTATAGACAGATATAGATGGACACTTGTTTAGCGATCTCTTTGGATTCAGATCTCTCTGCATCTGAAATGCCAGCTCTGCCTCTTCTTACAGCTAGATCTTTTTTATCTCTTTTTTTGGATGTTTTATTCACATAGAATGAAGCAGGGGGTGTAAAACGCCATCTACTGCAACAGATAAAGTGAGACTTTATGGCAGGTTTAGCTTACCTCTGGATTTCCTGGAGGTATAAGAAGCCGGTGGGTGATTTGGTATGGCAGCACTGATCCATAACATGAAAATCTGTTGGGACTCGGGAGTGCACTTTTAATATCCTCATATTGCCCTTACCTATAGGTGTGTTTCTCAAAGAACTGGTCATTTCCATGTCACACACTTGAGTCTGCAACTCGTCCACACGCTGGAAAGCTTCTAGTTTTAGGGTTCTTTCCTGTATGAGCTGTGATTTTATCTGGAATGTTAAGCGGAATATGATTAAGTATGGCAGCTCCATAGCTTAGGGGCATTATAAAGCAGCACATCTGCCAAACATTCACTGCAGGTGAATCTTCCTGGTGCATGTGGTTGGTGAATGTAAGATGAAAGTCACATTCGATGCTTTATAAATATGCCCCTTAGTGTCTAACACTGTGGCCTTTGCTGCAATGGGGTCTTGGTTCAATTTCCACCTGGGACACTATCTGCATGTGTGTGTTCTCTAGCTCAGTGTTTTTCAACCTTTTTTGTGCAAAGGCACACTTTTTTCATGAAAAAAATCACGAGGCACAACACCTAATTAATTTGTGGTTCAGAGCTGTTATGAGGCGGAATGCAGAGATCTGCAAAGAAAGTCAGTGCTGGAAGAATGCAGAAGTGTGAATGTGTTGCACTCAATTGCTAAAAGGCAAACTGAATAAAAACAAATTGTTAGAATATTTCTAATAATGACATTTATAATTTCTTTAGTCATTTATTTTGTTTATATAATTTCTACAGAGCAGCAGTCATCTTGTACATACGATGTGTGTGTGTATACCGTGTTTCCCCGAAAATAATACAGTGTCTTATATTTTTTTTTGGCTCAAAAAAACACACTGGGTCTTATTTTCGGGGTAGGTCTTATTTTTTTAAAAATGTACAACAATCCAAAGTTAACGCAAATTCATATTAAATAATAAATAATCCAAAATGGCAAAGTTAAGAATAAGGGTGATCAGGACAATCAGCGGTGCTGTACGTTTCCAAAAGCAATTTGGTAACCAATCGCTGGCCAGAATGAGTGAAACGCACTTTCACTATTCATTCCTCACAGGCGGAGTGCATTTGGTATCACTCCGACACACACACAATATGTGAATAGGCTTGTAAAGCTGACCATACACTGCTTGAATTTTGTCCAAGTCCTGTTGACCAAAATTTGTCCAAGTCCTGTTGGCCAAAATTTAACCAGTGTGTGACCCCGTCGGGAACCCCTCCATTTGTCACAAGTTAATTTTTCTATTTTAGATTGCCGGCCGAACAATGACTGCATCAAATCAAATGCAGCTACTGTCCGCATATTGAGCAGCCACTGGAGCAGCAGCTTCTGGGTACAATAGCTTTGGGGGATTCTATACAGGGTGGATGAAGGAATACCTATTAGTGTATGGCCAGCCTTACAAAAAACTATGTTCTCCAAGACAACCCACCCAGCTTTCACCATGGCCACCAACCACCGTATCACAATTTGTGTGTTGAACTTTTTGTAACTCACAGGAAGCTGTCCCTGCCATGAAATGGCCAGCTGGTTGTGTTTGTCTGCCATGTGTTGCAGGGGGTTAATGCCATGTTACATGTTCGAAAGAACAGTTTAGTAACAATCTCAGATCATCTTTCTAACTACACAAAAACATTTTAAACTGAAATCTGTTTGCTGTGGTTTACATTAGGGATGCACCGATACCACTTTTTTAAGACCAAGTAAGAGTACCGATACTTTTGATCAAGTACTCGCAGATACTAATTACCGATACTTTTTCTTAAAGGGACAGGTCACATTTTTTCTAAAGCAATACAAACTAATGCTTTAAGGTCACTTTCTTAATATTATGATTCATGAGATGACGAGGGAGCATGACGCCGGCTTCCCAGCCAATCGGAATGCCGGGCGCTGCGTCATTACACGGTGCCCGGCTTTGCTAGCTTCCTGACCATTCGGGAAGCCGGGCAGCGCGCCATTGCACGCTACCCGGCTTCCTGATTGGCCGGGAAGTCGGCTCCATGCTCTCTCATCACAAGTTACGAGAGAGCATGGAGCCGTTTCCTAGCCAATCAGGAAACCGGGCAGCATGTAATGATGCGCTGCCTGGCTTCCTGATACAGGAAGTACTCGTGCTAGGTATCGGAGCATTTCGGCGAGTACGAGTACTCACCCAAAAATTTGGTACCGGTACCGATACTAGTATCGGTGCATCCCTAGTTTACATGATTACATGATTTCATTGAACTTACATTCACATCAAATATGGCGGATACCACAGTTCAGCTGGTTCATTTGTGAACAGGTAAATGGGTCTTTAGGATACCTTATTAGCTACTCTTAGTTTGCTGCTGACAGTATTGGTGCAGCAGCTCTCCCGCCTGTACTCCTCTCTGTGGTGCAGGTCTCTTACACATTGCAAGGAACTGCACATAGTGCACGGGCGAAGACAAGAGTGCAGCTTATACTGATGATGAAGCACACAGCCTTATGTCTGTAAAAAATAAGTCGAAGCAACTGAACTTGCTGTACTTTTCTTGAAGACGTTTCACTGGTCATCAGGATGACCAGTGAAACGTCTTCAAGAAAAGTACAGCAAGTCCAGTTGCTTTGACTAATTTTTTACAGATATACCATGTGACCTGGATGAATGAGAACCTTCACAGACTTATGGGTGTGCCACTTTATCATGGCACAGATAACCTAAAATATAGTGTGGCTCACTTTGCAGGTATAAAGTCTAGACACCTAGATAGGTCTACCTACAGCACTTCTCATCCACATCTACTGTTGAATGCTGGCCATTCTGATTTGGCAAAGCTTTAACACATCCCCATAGTGACAGTTTGCTTGTCCATCACAGTAACGTGGTGATAAAATACACATATGCAGCCCTTACCTGCTTTACTTCTTTTTTAACTTTACTTTTCTGCATCTGACTCATTTTAGATGATCTGTCCGCTTCTTCGGTGAGTGATCGCAGCCTCTGCTCCTTTTCCTCAATATTCATTACTAGTTTGTCCATACTGGCAGACATAATACTATCAAGCTGCTGTCTGCTTTTTGTCTCTTGAGAGTGTCTGTGCTCAGATTCCTCCAGTAGATGTTTCTATGAAGAGATATTATTTACATAAGGCTTGGTGTCACTTTCAGCATTTTCTAACCCATGTAGCCCCATATAATGTATATTTGCAATGTTATGTATTACCATGTTTATTTTGATGCAACATATGTTATTGCAGTAAGTACTTGTAACAAGCACTTTCTTTGTAGCAGAAGGAACAATTAATAGTGGGCATGAGTTCAGGGCAAGGGTAAAGTTCTTACACACAGCAGACTACATAAAGCTTGCCCTCCTTAAAGTGGCACTAAACTCAGTAGTTAAATCTTAAAAACGCATTCAAGAACCTTATCCATTAACAAAAATGTATCTTATTTGTGTATCACTCAGCTGTAGATCCTCAAATCTCTGAATTAGTGCTAAATGTCCTTCCTTCTGGAAAGTGGCTACTTTTGTTCCCCATAGCCCCGGTGTGTGTGTTGTAAATTAGCCACCACTCCAAGCTCACTACTGTGGAGACTATTATCTCAATACAAATGAGTAAACTACAGGTGAGATTGTAGTCCATCACAGGAGTGAGCTTGGAGCGGTGGCTACTTTACAAAACAAACAGGGAGCATAGAGAACAAAAGTAGCCACCCTACAGAAGGAAGGACAGTGTCAGCATGAATTAAGAGATGATTTGAGGATCTACAGGTGAACAATACACAAAAAAGCTACATTTTTGTTAAAGGTTTAGATACTCGAATGCATTTTTTGAGATTTACGCCTGAGTTTAGTGTCACCTTAACCTCCTAAGAGACTGGTTCTATCTCTTTGCCGCAAAAACCCTGCTAAATTAAAGGACAGCTCTTCTGAAGGGGCAGCTGGTAGACAAGCCTTCTTTTGTAGAATCCTGCACCACGACTACATAGTCTTCAACCCTTTCCCAGGTGAGGGATGAGGCATAACTGTCCCTAACAAATGGGCTCCTGTGCTCCCATATATACACATGCCACAACAGTGGACCCCTTTTTGACACAGATTGTGCTATTTATAGCACATTGGCATCCACCAAAATCTTGTGAGAACTCTGTGTTGAAAACTAGACAGGCTCTCCCAAGATGGTGTATGGAGCCCAATGTGAGAAGACACTTGGACCTATGATGGGGTCCCTCTAGTGCCAGTAATACACAGTGTTCATTTGACTGCTCTCTTTACACTGGAATGATAAGGCTGTATCACTTTTAAAACAGCTAACCCAATAGAGTGATTCCTTCTCTCTTCCTTTTCCATGGAAAGAATATAAGATTTTATGAATGAAGGAAAGGGAAGAGTGAACAATGCTCTTTTTGACTGTATGAGAGACAGAACTGTGATTTACAGTGCTGGAGGGCTACATTTCAGCTCTTACAGTAGTTACAGGGGTGAATGAGTTTTACCCAATGCTGATACCAGCTACATATGAGATGCCATCATTAGAGATAGTTTCTTTCTACAAGGCAAATGTCCAAAAATTGATTTTTTTTCTGGAGTTCCGCTTTAAAGTCTTATTGCATTAAATGTCTGGTGAAGAATTGACTTCTGTGGATGCAGCAACATACAAAAAGTGGTTGGAACATGGATTTACAAAACAGTATATGCTATATAATAACAGCCAATACATGGACTGAACATATAATGCTGCTGTGAATAAGAGATGTGGCATGTCGGTGGCTGCACTGTTTTGCCTTACAGGGACCTCTGCACACTGTTGTTCATTCTCTTATATAGACCATCAATAGTTGGAGCTACTAGTGATTTTAAACACAAAGACTTGTAATTCACAGGTAATAAGTATATTTTATTCTGTAATTGGTCATCAGGAAAACAACACATATATCCATTAGGGGGGCTACAGATCAGTTGTAAGACACTGTATTTGAAATATAAAACACTGTAATTAAGCAGATGTTCATAAATCAAGATTGTATACGAAAATCTCTGGAATTTAAATGCAACACAATTTTCTGTCCTACCTGCAAAATATTAGACTTCAAAAAAAGCTTGGAATGTGAATAATGTACCTGTCTGATCAGCTGTTGTTTTACTTTGCTGACATCAGCTTGTGTCCTTGACAAGGCTGTCCTTGCTACCAAGAGCTCCTGACGTAGCAAGGTCACCTCTTGCTCCATTCTCAGCTTTAACTTCAAGCCTTCTTTCTTGTCCTGAACAGCTTCCTGGAATGACAGGATAGATCATACAGCTACAGACAAGATTTATATGGTGTCCTTCACTCTGGTCACACAAGATCATAGAGGGGAAAAGTCACAGAGAACAAAAAGGTTTTATATACTGTAGAGGACGGCAAGGCTGGGTCCTGGATGGGCAATATTTATCACCCCTATTTGAGTTGTGGTCCCTTTAAGGACAGCCGCAGGGTTAACCTTCCTGCCCCAGGAAGGGGTTTAAAGGTCGGCAACTCCCAGAGAAGTGTGTGTGTGTGTGTGTGTGTGTGTGTGTGTGTGTGTGTGTGTGTTGCTGGGCCTTGCTGGGCCTTGCTGGAAGGACTTCACATTACAATCTAATCTACTACGTGGCAATGTTTAACAACTAGAAATGGTGATTACAAAAGCCAAAAATCAGTCATGGATAGAATATCAAAATTGGAAACTCAATATTAAAATATCTGATTCTAGGGGAAAAAATTACTTTAAGTGACACTAAACTCAGCAGTTAAATCTTAAAAATGCATTCAAGTACCTTAACTATTAACACAAATGTATCTTATTTGTGTATCACTCATCTGTAGATCCTCAAATCATCTCTGAATTGGTGCTGACACTGTCCTTCCTCCTGGAGGGTGGCTACTTTTCTTCCCCATGGACCCTGTGTGTGTTGTAAAGTAGTCACCGCTCCAAGCTCACTCCTGTGATGGACTACGAACTCATGTTTAGTTAGCTAATTTGTGTTGAAGTTTTAGTCTATCACAGGAGTGAGCTAGGAGTGGTGGCTACCTTATAACACACACACGGACCATGGGGAACAAAAGTAGGTACTCTCCAGAAGGAAGGAGAATATCAGCATCATTCAGAGATGATTTGAGGATCTACAGCCGGGTGATGCACAAAGATACAAGTTTGCTAATAGTTAAGGTAATTAAATACATTTTTAAGATTTAACTCCTGAGTTTAGTATCACTTTTTTATCTATTGGGTTCCTAGCTGCAATTTGCCCTCTTCTTCTAGGTATTTCTAAACTGTTCTCAAATGACAAACTTTCTATGGGCAGAAGTGAAGAACATACCACAGATGTTTCTGGACCTTCTAGCTACAAAGGCAATTCTGAGCTAAGTAATGCCCTTGAAGTTGGCATTAATGTAATTAATAGCATTGGCCACGTAGCTGATTGGCAGACGATTGTTGCCATTATTGAAGCCCTGGATGAAAGTATACAGTATATTAGCATGTGTTTGTATAATTCCAAGCTGCTGCCCACAATAGTAGAAAGATGCTAAGTTTCCATAAGGACTGGAAACCCAAAATCCAACTTATTACATACCTTTTCGGCATTTCTCAGCTTCTGCCGCAATCGTCCTTCTTTGGCTGTGATCTTCCATTTATTCAAAGCTTTGAGTTTGCATATTAAAGCTTGTAGCTGGCTGTTCTCCTCCCATAGAGACTGTAGCCTGTCATGCTAATTAATATATACAAAATTGTTAAACATATTCCTTTTTGTACAGCACTGGTGTATACATTTCTCACTAAATCTTTCTGCCATACAGATGTAATCCATCAACTGCATGGTCAGACAAGTTATTATATTTTCTGATTTCTCAGAGTTAATGATAAAGTGCTTTTCACCTTTATTCTCAGGAGTCATGTATACTGTCAGGAGGCCTTCTACCTCAAATAACCATTACCAGCATTGTACTGAAGGAACACTGGAGTGTCTGAGCCACTTGAGAAAGGTGTCTTTGTGAACTGAAAAGGTTTCCAGTTTTTTTTCAATCAAAGAAGAAATACCATAAAAATGCAATAAATCTTGCGGTCAGCAACTTACCATTGATAATGTGTTTTTTAAAGCGCTCTCATTTTTAAGTGAGCTGTGTTTTTTTCTCAAAAGAATCATGTTGTCCACACCTTCTTTTCGAACGTCACTGATGAGTTCAGTCACTTGTTTGTGCATGTTAATATGATAGCCTTCTATTTTAGACTGAAAAATAAGCACATAGATTGTATTAGAAAGGCTGTGTGACATTATCAACGATCAGGGGTAAGAAACCTGAGCACTCCAGCAGTAGCAAAACTACAAAGCCCATTGTGCTGTTTCCTCTAGGAATCATACCTTCATCACAGCAGGCAATGCTGGATTTGCTGGGCGAGTATGTATGGGTGAGTATGTTTTCTGAAGAAAACCCTGCCTAACAGGTAAGAGGGGATAAAAAAAAAAATACTTGGTGGGGAGGGACGGGGTTCCTTTATAATAATATGGATACATATTTACTGATAATCACAACCACAGCTTTTTACAGTGAATGCAGTAATGTGAAGAGCAATGTTTTCCGATGTACACTATATTCCCTGCTCCCTTATCCTACAATTTAAATGATAAACTATAATTTTGTATCTACGTTTTCATAAATAAAATATTAAATCCTTTGCACACATTTTTATAAGGTGCTAAATAGTGATCCTTTAATGGTCATAATCAGTGAATCTCCTCTACATGGCATGAACTGTTGCTCCATATCAAACAGCATGTTATACAGAGATGAGATTTACAACTGACATTTATAGCGAGCATACTGAATGCAAACCAAGTACAGTTACTGACACAGATTAGACATTACTCACCTTTAAAGATACACAAGCAGCAAAAAGAGTCCTTACTAAGGCTTCATATTCATCCTGCACCTGTCTCCTCACCACTTGGGTAGCAGCAATAGCTTCTTCTTCCATATCTTGAAGCTTAGCTCGGAGAGCTGTTATTTCAACTAAGAGATCATGGCTTATGTCAGCGGTCTATGGAAAGTTAAAGGATATTGTTTTGAATGTAAAATATAATTGGATTGAGGATGTTGGCTTGAACTAGTCAGACCTATGGTAAAGGAAATCATTCTGGTTTTAGATGTCCTTATTTATTTATATATACTGCAAATGCATGCTGGAAGGTTAATTGTAGACATGTGCGCCGGCAAAAAATTTGTTTCGTTTATTTTTCATTCAGATTTTTCATTAATTCATTTTTCAGGATTTGGGTCCGAAAGTCAATTGGTTTTCGCATTCGGACGAAATCCGAATTTTTGTTAGCGGTAGTACAAATTTACGCTACAAACAAAGTTTAATTGCTGTAAAGTGGCATTAGACAAAAAAAAAAAGTGTGTGAGGTTCCCCCAAAAGTCATACCAGGCCCTTTAGGTCTGGTAGGAGTTTTAAGGGGGGAACCCCATCCCAAAAGATGGGGAGGGAAACGTGGGGTCCCCCAAAAATTCCTGCCAGACCCTTGATCCGAGCACAGGCCCGGCAGTGGGAGGGTGTCCCCATGCTGATGGGGACAAGGGTCTCTACCCTGACCCAGTGGCTGTGGGGGTCTGCGGGCAGGGGGGCTTATTTGCATTGGGTTACCCCTTTAAATTAGGGGGGCACCTAATATAAAAAAGTAAATATTTAAAAGTAAATGTAAATAAACACACCACACATTTTGGAAAAGTCCGATGTAATCCAGCGCCAATCACAATGAACGACGCTCGCCGACTCGAAATGAAAAAAGTCCCACAGCACGACAACCTGTTCGAACCCAACGAAGACTCGCTGCAAAATGACAGCTCCGGCACGAGTGTGAATGCTCCCGAATGCCATTCGGGTCTGGGAGCCAAGGTGTCATAATACTATTTATTGTATTCAACTTGCTTGTCACGCTCCTTACTAAATGTCCCGTGTAATGGGAGGGTGCTCGTAGTGACTGCGGATGGCACTCACCTGTCACGGCAGAGAGCTGTGACAGGATCTGAAGGTGAGCGAGCGATGGTATGTGTTCGCTCACCTCCCAATCTACTGAGCAGACCTGTGACGGTCTCATTGTCACAGGTCGGCCAGAACTATGAGGTGAGTGAAAAGCACTCACCTCATAGTTCTCTTTTAAAGATTATTGGCAGATAAACAAGCGTTTAGGGCTAAGCCTGATGAAGGGACCCTGTTCGGCCCCGAAAGCACTTGTTTATATGACGAGAAGCTTCAATAAATATTATTCATATGACACCTCGGCTCCTAGACCCGAATGGCATTCGGCAGCTCACGAATAGCATTCAGGGAATGCTATTCGTTTTGATGCATTTTTGATGCATTCCGGTCCGTTTTGTTTGTTTTGCCTAAAATGTCCAGTGCATTTCAGAGAGTTTGCATGTGTTTTTGATGCATTTGCATGCGTGTTGGTGCATTCCAGAGCAGAAAAATGGGGCATGCTGCAGTTTTTACACATGCATTGGAACTGAACGCAGTGGTGTGAACTAGAGCCCAAAATACCATTGGAATACATTGGATGCATTTTTAAAGCATTCTTAAACTGCTCTGCTCCGCACTTGGTGTGAACAAGCCCTAACACTCTCTCACAAATGACTCATCTCACTTGTGATTTCTTATGTAAACTTTTACTTATCTTCCCTATACATCAGAGGCTGCTGTCGGGGCCATCACTGATAATTTGATACTACTTGGACTGAAGACATCATGCTTTTATATCTTTCATTTTGTTACATTTACTTTGTTTATTTGTTAAATTCACTTAGCTGTGACACATCAACTGATACAAAAAAATCTAGAAGCTACCTACAAGTGACTGCATGGGCAAGATACTTAAATCACGTTGATAAACATTTAGCAGAAAAAAAAAAGTCCTCAGTATAATTATGTTGTATACTTATATAAATGTATACTTTGTCATTTACAATTGAATCTGAAATGAATGGAAAGGTAATCAAACAGGATTGTAACCAGCTTTAATTAACTATTTCTTGATGGTTGATCAGAAAACTTGATTCACTTTAAGTGAAGCTGAATAAAGAAGCTGATGTATGTCTGGTATGCATTTTCATTTAAAATATGTTTCAAAGTGACACCAGTTTATTTGTCACATAAAGTCATACATTTCAAGGATGAATTCTTATCCCGGCTTTGCATGCTAGTCAACTGCAGCTTCAAGTCTACACCTGGACTTTAAACCTGTTAGGTATTTGTTTGGTAGCAATAAACAGATTTCATATGTTTGGCCAATGATTTATAGACCCATGTACAGCTACAGCAACTCAGCTACGTCTTTTTCTAACGTTTCTACATTGACTGCTTTCCCTTTTGTTTTATTACACAATTAGTGGGAAGTACCCCTAAGCAACCAGTCAGGGGAAGATGTGGCTAGCCTGCATATTTATAAGAGATTAAACCTAGTTACTATGGGAAACAGCACAATATGATAATGGGAATACCTAAAAGTACACAGGTGTGCAGTTATTGAACTGTGTAGTGTGTTTCCTGTGATTGGACTGAATTTCAGTCATATTTATATACCATGAAGCCTCTTACAGTGCCAGTCACTACATTTTTTTTCTTCATCTGATACAAGACTGTGGTCTCTCTGTTATAACATATGCATGGTTTCATAATTTCATCCTTACATTAGATAGCTCTATGTGGATTTTCCAATAGGTGTGGGCCTGCAGGTAAGGTTTTTTAGCCAACCAGTGACTGATACTGTCCTTCCTTCTCCAAGATTGCTCCTGTGATGGATCTACAATCTCAATACAAATCAGTAAACTAAAGGTGAGATTATATTCCATCACAGAAGTGAGCTTGGAGCAGTGGCTACTTTATAACATACACATGGTTGCTGCCACTTTTTGTATTTGGTATGTCTGTGCATGGCTCTGCCCACACTGTTGCACCATCCATTCACAGGATCTGCAAATGATAACAACTATAAGCCCTGTCTGCCACTGCGGCAGAGGGACTCGTAGTTCTCAGTGTAGTAAAAGTTTAATTCACACCTCCTCCCATCCCTGTAACTAAAAGTCGGTATAGACAGGAGTTGGGAGGAAGAATCTGCAGGAGCCGGAACATTTTATCCGTGATCTACTAATCACAGTTGCAAAGGCTCTAATACAAACCTATAATAAATGCAAATTGATATTTTATTAATATGTGTGCATTTGATATTTTATTTGCAAAAGTGGACTATGCTTTTAACTGCTCTTGCAGCTTGATGAATCAGAGCTTATGTGTTATCCTTAACTTTCAGGTTTTCGTAAAATGTGTACAAAAGACAGGAGAGAAATAAATATTAGACAACATAAAGAGTAGTTTGGAATGCATTTGTCAGCTTAACATACGAATCTGTATGTTAAGCTGACAAATGCATTCCAAACTATTGCAGATCATTTGTATGCATCTGATGACAGGAGAGGTATGAGAGATTTAACCTTAAAGGAGAACTATGAGGTGAGTGCTTTTCACTCACCTCATAGTTCTAGCCGACCTGTGACAATGAGACTGTCACAGGTCTGCTCAGTAGATCGGGAAGTGAGCGAACACATACCGGCGTTTGCTCACCTCTTGATCCTGTCACGGCTCTCTGCCGTGACCAGGGGAGGGGCTGGATTCCCCCCCTCCCCGCTCCGATCCGCCAGCGTTGACTGGCGGAACGGACGTGGGAGGGGGCGGGTACAGCTGGCTCTGCCTCTAGATCTGTCACAATTGTCGGGATCCGCTTCAGCTGCGGCTTCTCAGTATACCGCGAGCAGCAGCTCGCGGCTGCGGCGTCTCAGTATACCGCGAGCTACAGCTCGCGGTATACTGAGCTTAGGGTGACGGGAGGACGCTAGTTTGTGTCCTCCCGTTGCCCTAAGGAGAACTATGGGGAAAAGCCTTAACCCCATAGTTCTCCTTTAAGAAACCTTATACTTTTTAATGTTATTTGCTGCTCTGTTACAGACGTGCTCATGTAAAAGTATAATAACGCTGATCTCGGTATGAACTTTTATAGTTCCTTTCTCTAAGCACACAAGTAATGACGTGCAGATCTTGGTACATATCATACTAAAGGTCAAAGTTTCAGGACAGTCATTCAACAATGTAAGACTGCCAGGTTTAGCTGAAATGTAGGTCAGGATTTGCTGGAGAAAGAATGTTATCCCTAAATACATGAAAAGCCAGTTTTTAAAATAGTTTTGTCAGGTGGTGTTAACACAACATGAAAACACAATGTCCTACACCTCCGGAAAAATGCACATTAGCATATCAGTGTCTGCTTCTCCACAGGAACCAATAATTTACATCATTATAAAAACTGTTGTCATGAATACATCTTTTAAAGTAAACCCTTAGAGAGACTATGAAGGCTTCTGTTGCTGACCTGCCAGTGATCCGATGGCCTTAATATTTTCTGTCTATCCCTCCCAATATCCCAACAATTATCCCCCTAGCAACAAAGCATTTGTGTTTAGTGTTCCAAACATAAGTAAGAACTGTGTGTATACATGGAGAACATTCATCAAAGTAAAATAATGCCTATGTCGCTCAGTAGCAACTAATGAGTTTCAAACATGTACTTTGAAGTGCATGCACTATGGCATTTTAAAGGGCGTATTTGATTACTATGGTAAAACTCTAATAGTATAAAATCTATAATATACAAAACTCTTGCACAACTGTACTAGGTGGAGGCCTTGGCAATATTTTATAGAATAAGCACATAATACTCTAAATGGGTGCTCTGTATATTGCATAAATGCATGCACATACCATTGTTCTAGGGAATAAAGATATCATTGGTGTGCATGTATATAAATATCTGCTGTGTATATACTGTATATTGTGAGGCACTGTTTCTAAAATACACATGGTGAGGGGCTCCAGGGTTTATGGCTAATGTGAAGCAAACAAATGTTTTGTTATCTTAGAATCTTATTAAGTTTGGTTTAGGGTCCTGGAGCCTTTTGGTTGGAAATTAGCCTCCATTCCTAGGTCCACATCATACCTGGTAGCCAGACCTCTTTTTTAGTCTCAGCAGTCTACAGGTCTTTATATATGAGTTGACTGATACTAAGGGCTCTCTCTTTTGCTTTCTCTGCTGTGAGAACCTGCTGCTGGGTGAAAAGCCTGATAGAATACTATAAATGGTACACATGCTGCTTGTTTGTTTTGGGGAACACAATTGGTGGGCACCTGGGTAGTCAGGAACTGACCTGAATTTAGTTAGTAGGTCACATGAGCAGATGTATAGTGTGTTTTATGCTATGAGCTGTAGCCCTCCTGCTTCAAAATTGTTTGCTGCCTTTCTGAATAAAAGTGCAGGACAAACCAGCTTTGACTGTTCCTGGATGTTTACCCCTGCCAATACCAGTTTAAAATGTCCTGTTACAACCTGGTACTCAGATGCAGCAGGCACCTAAAAGAGACAGACTCCTACTGTTGAACAAAATAGAGAAGCTTGTAAAACAGCTGGTATTGGCAAATGCCAACCAGCAAGACATGAACAGCTTAGCTTCCCAGCAGATGCAGCACCTGACTGTAGCCGACCAGGAATCCTCAGAGATCCTCCTTAGAGCAACAAGTGATCCTGTCTCTACAGCAGAAGATACAGGCCCTGTTAGAAAGGCAGTCAGGTGGTGCAGGGGTCGATCTCTAAATATATATTTTACCAGGGAAAGATGTGGTGCAACATGTTTCTTCTACACAGATGCTGGGATTGCGATGTGCTAATCCATATATTAACCGATTTTAGAAACTAGCCCTATCGACATATATTAGGGGATTAAGGTTAGCAAATTGCACCATGATATCTACCAGAAAGCAGGTTGTTGGAAAGCTTATGTGTACTTATCTATGAGTTATAGCGATGCAGTATGTTTGGAAAAGACCAAACCTTTGACATACCTCATAGAGTTCATTTTCATTTCTCTTCTGCTCTCCTGTTACTGCAAGCATCTCCTGTTACAAATTATATATTATAAGTAAATGAATAGCTTGATTTCATATCATATCAATGAGTAATCTGTGTTTCCAGTGCTTCATAAAGGGACACACCTGCTCTTTCTGGTACAACAGTTGATGTTCTTGTTGAAGAAGGTTTTCATAAAACATGGAGTAGGCCTCAAAGTTGCTCCGCTCTCTCGCCATTATATTAGAAGCCAGTGATGTAAGACAATGTTCTACATGTTCCTTTCTAAAGCTCACCTATAAAAATGCATGACAATAATAATAACCATGATGAAGAAATAAAGAATAGAAATAAAATTACATAAAACATTATAAAACATTGTTATTTTACACAATTTTTATAAAAGTGGCAAGTAGTTTCAAACATGACACAAAATTATCCAATAAAGAAGTACAAAGAGCACTGATGACTAATGCAAAGTAGAGCAGCCCATAAAGGCACATTCATTTATTGACATCAAATCAATGAGCACTTCTGCTGGCAAAAGCTCTGCTCTGCTCTATATTGACAGTACTATAAAAGAAAGTAAAGGTGCCCATACACCTTACGATTATCGTACGATAATCGTATGCGATCGACTTTTCGAACGACAATCGTACGCGTGAATAGAGTGCCCGAACCGACATTACTGTACCGTCGTACGACTTTTGACGGTCAAGCATGTTTGAAAACTTTGGTCGATCGTACGATTGTCGTAAGGTTGCTGGCGTTTCCGTCCGTCAAAAGTCGTACGATCTACACTGCGCATGCGCGAACGAAAATACGACAAATCAATTACTGCATTTCGTCCAGGAGCTTTTCGTTAATTACGGCTAAATTAATCTTGCGATCATCGGGGCAGGATGGGGCTGCTGTACCAAAATCGTACGACTATTCGATCATCGGACGAAACGTTTCGTCCGATAATCGTAAGGTGTATGGGCACCTTTAGGGATACAATAAAGATTTATTTGCCAATATAACCATATATGAGTTTTGTCAAAACATTTTCTTTAAACCTGATGCAAAGACCTTTTTACCTCTGTCGAGTTATCATGATGTTCACTCTTTAGCTGCTGTACAAATTCTTCCACAATTTGAGGCCTATCAGGAAAGAAGTTCTCTTTTATAGCTGGTTTCTTCCACAAATCTAGTGAATTGAATGGAAAAAAACAATAAACATGAAAAAATAAAGTTAAGCTGATTCATTTTTTATCCTACATAATTGTAAATATTTAACACATACAGTATACAGAATATGCCAGTTTGGATAGTTTCTATATTTTGTAAAGGCTACTACTATTAATAAAAATAGTATGTGTAACCAAATAAATGATGGCACTCTGCCAAAGGATACAAAATTATTTTATATTCCATTAAAATAAGGTACAACAGGCGGTAAGATCTCTAATGCATTTCATGCTTAGAAGTGCCTACTTTTATATATATATAAAGTCTAAACATGAAATGCAAGATTTTTTTAATTGTTTACGATAACTGTGTAAACAATATAACATTAAAGGAGAACTATGGGGTTAAGGCTTTTCCCCATAGTTCAATCTTAGGGTAACGGGAGGACACAAACTAGCGTCCTCCCGTCACCCTAAGCTCACTATACTGCGAGCTACAGCTCGCGGTATACTGAGACGCCGCAGCTTAAGCGGATCCCGACAATTATGTCTGGATCCGCCCAGCTGCGTGAGTGACAGCTGGCTCTGCCTATCTAGAGGCAGAGCCAGCTGTACCCGCCCCCTCCCCCGTCCGTTCCGCCAGTCAGCGCTGGCGGATCGGAGCGGAGAGGGGGGAATCCAACCCCTCCCCTGTCACGGCAGAGGGCTGTGACAGGATCGAGAAGTGAGCGAACGCCGGTATGTGTTCGCTCACCTCCCGATCTACTAAGCCGACCTGTGACAGTCTCATTGTCACAGGTTGGCTAGAACTATGCGGTGAGTGAAAAGCACTTATCTCATAGTTCTCCTTTTAATATGCCACAATAAAATAGTATTTAAATATCTTATTTCCCACAGCTTCCATTTAGTTAAATTGATGCATACGGTAGGAAGCATATACTGTATTTTTATTCCATTAGTAAAGCTGTACAACAATGGTGTGGGATTATTAAAAGAAAAGTGACAAGTGTCATAGTTTTGTAATGGTATTTCAGTTATCATTACATCACACATACTGTTCTGTCCTAAATTTGCCCTGAACAGAAGTTATACCTCATTGAGCTGTTTCTCAGTTCTCACCTGTCGGAAGCCCTCTTCCTTCTCTTGTTCTTTCAGATATCACTAATGTCATCTCTTTTGCAATCTTTTTCTGTACATCAAGGATCATATCACTTTCAAAGCTTTCAATTATTTTCTGAAGCTGGAAAAAAGATCTTCAGTTAACATTAGGGTTGCACAGATACCAAGTACGAGTACATGTACCGATACTTTTGAGCTCCAAGACTACACTAGAGAAAAAATTAAAAAATTAGGAGGCAGCTGTCATTTGTAAGGAGCACACGGAGCTCCTGGGATTTGTACATCTCTGTTTTAATGTACGATTTTGTTTTTATAAATATAAATAAAGGGATGCACAGATACCAGTTTTGCGAGTACGAGTACTGGTACTTGCCGAGTACTTACAAGTACGAGTACTGATACATTTTTGTTTATTGTCATGTGACAGTTTTTCTAAAACAATACAGACTAATGATTTCAGGACAGTGGTGGAGCGCCAGAGCCAGGTCCCAGCTGCAACCCTGGTAGTTCTCTTGAAAATGCCAAGTATCTGCACTGGTACTCAAAAAGTATCTGTGCATCCCTAGTTAACATGTAGCACAGCTATACACTGGTCTAATAACTGGAAGTCCAGTGTCTTTATTAAAGTTATTCTATGAATAAAAGCCTAGCTCGATCTTGGGCAAAAAGATTAGTCCTGGATCCCCAAGCATCAGATAAAAATAAAAACTTTGGTCTGGCTGCTATAATTATCCTATCTCCAGTGCTTTCACCTTCTAAATCACCTGCTCAGGGTTTCAGTGCCCCTACATTTCCAGATGTAATGATGCCCAGTGTAATTCGTGTAAACCCAAAAAAAATCAAGCCGCAGTGGACTCATAGAAGAATGCTGCAGGGAGTCGAGCCACCCCATTACAGCATGTGGCGCTGCTCACTAGAGCACTTAGGATCCATCCACTGCTGGAGGAGATGAGGGCAAAAAGGACCTGTGTCTTCACTGGACCCGATTGGAGATATCTTGACAAAAAGTTAAACATATTGTTGTTTATTTTTTTTTTAAATCTCCAATAGTGGGAAGTAGGCAAATGAAGGGGATAGGGGCACCGAAGGCTGGACTTTAATAATATGATGATT